TACTCTTCACTTTTCTAACCAAAAGAGCAATAAAACGCTCTTTTGACCGATGAAATATCCCGCTTTCACATCAACCACCTACAGCATTGTCAAATAGCCGCCTCATTTTACACTGGGGGGGGGGGGAAATTTTTTGNGGGGGGGGGGGTATTTTTAGTTTCTTTAAATTGCTTTGGAAATTGCTTATTTCGGAAATATCGGATATTCACAGAAACACCTTTTTCCTGACTTCTGGTCATAAATTGCTTGGAACTAAAAATTTCTAGGGCTGTATTTAGGGCAGAAGTGAAAATCAAAATTAACCGAATTCGTGGTTATTATGCCATGCTCTAAGACAGCGGCTCTCAATTATTATTTAGGTCTCCCTCTATGAAACCCCGACACTACGATTAAAATTTATTAAGGTAATTGTGAATGCTATAACCTGAGAAAAAAAAACTTTTTTTAAAATATTTCATTAGAGGAATAAAGATTTTCCATCGTTTTATCATTAACAATCATTATATTATTAATAAGGTTTTATATCCGACAGTTAAATTTGCAGTCCTTGTTCTATATCTAGTATAGTTTTGAATTTATTTCTGGTGTATATACATAAGCTATAAATGAATTAAATAAGCCGAATTGGTTTACTTCTAAATGAGCTTGAAGAGACTAGTTAAAAATGGTAATTAGAAAGGCATTTATTTTTATAAAAGAATTTAGTTATTTTTTTTTATTTGAGAAGTCCAGTATAAAATGCTAATGTAATATTTTATGAATGATTATTCTTTTACATCTGAGGTAGGTAGGTTGTTCAACATTCAACATATTGTTTTTAGAAATATATTATCATTTAAAAAATGCCATTTCTACTTAATTGGTATTTTACTTTAAATAATTTAAAGAAAACCGAGCGATTATATAGGATATAATTTATAGGTTGGATCTAAATATAATCAGAGATTATAAAAAGTACTAACTAGAAGTTTTTAAAAGTATTTATCCCTGGTTATAAAAAGTATTAATTTGCGATACCTCTTTAACTCTTCCCGGAACCCTAAATTTCCATAGAACACAGTTTGAACTGCTTTTCTAAGGTATCATGATGAAATTACCAAAACTTACATTTACTACCTAACAGAAACAGCATGGTAAAAAAATATTTTTATTATGTTAATTTCATGAGAAGTTATGACCAAATTGCTACGGAAAAAAATTACCCTGTTTTTATCTGCTTCCATAACTACCGTAAATTTTACTTCGTTCTAATAGTTTTGACCATTATTTTTTTTTCTCTGTGCGGTCAGTACCATGGTTCGCATTTCATAAAAGACACTGTATTGCCGCATGCAAATACATGTGTTTTTCTCAAAATTTCAGAAGGTCTTCTACTTTGGCACGTCAAATTTTTAAAAGAATATTTTGTCACATAATTGAAGAAAAAAAAACACGTATATGATAGTTTTACACGAAGAACATATCCGGAAATTTTCAACTAAATCAAGATTCTTAGTTTATTAAATTTAAAAAAAAAATAAATAAAAAATACCCTGCAAGTTAGGTGTGTTTATTTAGGGCCATTGATTATGAAATCTAACGCAAAACTGTGAGATCATGGGTTCCATTTCAACTGATGACAGCTCTTAATTTTTATTTCTTAATACTGAAATATGTTTTTCTTATTTTTTTAAAAATATGCATGTTAAAAAAATAGTAATTTAGCAATTATTTAAAAGAAAAACTAGAAGACTCCGTCCCTTGTTCACTTTGCTCACCAACACGCGTGGTTGCTTCTCATTAATCATTGCAGATTAAAAATAAAAACTACATATTTAAATTTTTTCCCCGCAAAAATTACGATTGAATTGCCATTTACATTTTAAAGATGACTAAATTTAGGCAAATCAATAAAATTGGTAGTAATTAATAAAATCGGAAAATTGGTACCTGCCGCAGAGTTATTACTCAGTGAAGATGGGTTCAAAAGTTAAAGCATTCGCCTCCGAATGGAACCGGATTCGAATCCCAGTGATGGCTGGTCGATAAGAATTCTACAACCGGCTAGCACCGATCACAGTGCTGATGCATAATATCCTCAGTGGTAGACAGATCATGGGCTAGAGTCCCCTAGCTGCCAGACTAACCGTGGGAAGTTTTCCTCTCCATGTAACTCAAATATGGGTGAGTTCCATCAGAATNAGTGTTTTAGAGAACAAATAATGACTTTGTCCAAGAAAAAACACATTATAGCTGAGCTAAATGAAGAGTGCTATGTTTAATGAAGAAGCTATGTTTAATGTCAAAATCGAAATCTTGGCTGATTTCAATGTGCTGTTGGATGTTGTTCGCCATTGCTTCTGTGGTTAACGTCACGTTGTAATCCAACTGCAGTTGAGTTGGACGGCAATTGTAGATCAAGATGAGCGTTCGATGACGTATACTATCAAACTCACAAATTTACCAATCAGAGGTTAGCGCTGATTTCCAGCTGACGGCGTCCTTTTCTAAGAAACCAAGCCTTTACAAGTACTGAAAAAAAAAATGAATTACAGAATTCGCTCAAACTCCGAAAGTGAGGAGTGATAGAAAATCATTGATTAAGAATTAATTAAAAAAAATATTTTATTCTTTAAGAACTACAAACAGTTTAATTTTCTTAAATCAGCGGTCAGAAAATTTGCTGTTACTTTGCAGCTTTTTCCTTTCTTCTTTCAGTATCCCACACAATTACTAACTTTCTTGGCAAAGAACAACAATGAAAGTAGCCGTACTTCTTATTTTAAACAAAATTATAAAATGTTAAATCTAATGACATCAAGGATTAAAATATTATAATATCAAGCAGTATATACCGGGCAAATGTATACCTCGCAGTGGCACTTAAGTAGACATAGTATGACTAAACCTTTGGTAAATGTCCGAAATATATACTAGGTCTAGTGCCACTGCCCGGTATACATTTGCCCGGTATATCCTACACTAATGTTTTTTTAAGGTCAAGTGCCATTGCCCGGTATCCCCTACACTGATGTTTTTTTAGGTCAAGTGCCACTGCCCGGTATACCCGACTCTGATGTTTTTTTAAGGTTCAGTGCCACCGCCCGGTATACCCTACACTGATATTTTTTTAAGATCAAGTGCCATTGCCCGGTATATATTTGCCCGATACTCCAAACACTGATGTTTCTTCTAATCTATCGTCAGTAAGTATTAAAATATCGAATAAATGTAATTATATCCACGAATAAATTAATATCAAATCGGATGACGTTTTGAATTTGTCATTTTTGAATGACATTTTGACGAATCGGAGATGTATTTAATACTTTGCCGATTTCTTATTAGGCATTCTATAGAATGCCTAAGCAATGTGTGAAATATAAATCATTTCATACTTCGCCGGCTAATTTTAGACATTCTATACAATGTCGGATTTCATATTTTACCGGTAACACGTTCATATTTAAGCTACTTGTTAAATATTTTATGTTCTTTGGTGTTATGTAGAATGGAAGATGTGGATCTAAAATGTGACAAAATCTATTCACCGAGTTCTAATTTGTACAAATAAGGAAATAAAATATCAAAATAATTAATATTATAACTATATTAAAAGAGCTGACATTCTAGGCACTTGTATTTTAACCAAAATGCAAGATGTCTCATTTCTTTTTTTCCTTTCAAGCTTGAATAGAATTTCTGGAATCCCCTCTGACATTAGAGAACAGCCTCTCTCTCTGGATCTATCTGATCTTTAAAAATTAAAAACGTCCATTCCCTTTGTCTACATTACAAAACCAATTAAAAAAAATTACATTTCTTTTTCTATTCTTTGTTTCTTCACTCAAAAAAATTTTATTAATAAAAACTCAAATAAATAAATAACAGAAAATAAAAGAACGCATCTGAAAATTTACAACGCCGATATATATTTTTCCCTTTTGTCCGTTTGTATAATGGAATCTTCCTACCCCTAGACCAGAGGTCGCCAAAGTGGTCTATATAGACCCCCAGGGGTCTATTTAACATAAGTGGGGGTCGATCTGAGCCAGGGGGTCGATCCGAACCGGAAGGGTCGATTGGTCGAAGGATTATCAGTTTTTTTCAGATATGTGACAATTAGAAATAAAAGAAGAAGACTTGGAAATATATACCAGTAATCTTCAAAAATTGAGCGACGATTTTAAACTGCGTTTTGTTGATTTGGAAAACATTGACATCCCTGATTGGATTATTGTGCCATTTTCTGCTCAAATTGAAAACATGGGACATCAAACAACAATTGAAAACATCAAATTGAAAACTCAAATTGAAATTGACATCAGCCTGCAAGATGAGCTTGCTGAATTATTATGGGGATTTGAAGCAAAGACGCTTTTTAAAAATTTAACAATAAGCAAATTTTGGACAAATATAAATATAATGCAAAAATATGTAAGACTTTACGAAATAGCTCAGCCATTTATGATAGCATTTCC